GGGGACAAGTCGTCCAGTTAGGGACATCCCTGGGATATCCCTGTGCTGTGTGGGGTAAGGGATTGGAGGAACGAATACTCACTTGCCTGACCTTCAGACACTGATGTTCAATGTGAGATCAAATTAAATTCACAACTATCGATAGCCTGCGGAAAAATCAGGAAAACATTTTCAGTTCACCGAGTGCGAGTGAACCTCTCCTCTTTTTTCTGTTTTGGAACGGCCCTACTCCTTAGGGACGGGGGACGCAGTGTTGCTTTTTCGGAGTTGCCATGCACTTTTAGACATCTCAGGATGAGACAGGTTAAATTTGGACGATTTTTAAGAATTTTGTAATTATTATTTTTGGCCAGCCTACCTGTTAGACAATGGGTGTTGTGATCCTGGAGGGGTGAAGGTAAGGGGGAAAATCTCGAAACGGGGTTCAAAGTCTGCTGATGTACTGTAAACTCTATAGTTTCACTCTTGCCAAAATTCTCATTTTGCCACCTGACCTACGGCATGAGCACTTCCCCACTGCGACGGAGAGCAGCAACGTTGGGAGACATGATTTCTTTAGGGAAGATTAAGTGCCCCATAAAATGATGAAGAAAGCAGATACATCTGCCGAAAAGGGAAATAAATAACAGAAAACGTAGTTTCTCATTCTCGATCTTACCATTTCGCACTTTTCCACCTCACTTCATCACTAGCCCCATAGCATTAGGAGGAGAAGCGCGAAACTCCACCCTGGATTAATACCACTTCCCCATAAGAAACTCACAACTCCTATTTTCGCCACTGGGTAGAGGAAACTGCTCCAAGTTCTCCGGGAGCATTTCAAATACGAAATTAGGATTAAATGAAGCTCTTTTGGAGTCAACCATGTCGACAGGGGGAGAGGAGGAGAGAGGGGGGGGGGGGGGAAGAGATCAACTGGAGTTTCATGGAAACGAGATTTCTAATCACATCCGGAGTTCTTCGCATTCTGACGTCGGGCTCGGAAGGAATGAAAGGAACTTGAATTACATAGGGTTGACTAAATTTAGAGGGCGGTGGGGCTCGCTTCCGCCCCCCGCGGCCCTCCACGGCCCCCCGCGGCCCCAGCGGCCCCTCGGCCCGAACGTTTCACGCGTGATATTGCACTCCGGGGTGTCCGAGAATTCAAACGCTATCGTGTTTTTGGGAACGCACGATGAAAGATATGAGGAAATGTCGGGAACATCCGAGGGAGGCCCGAGGGAGGCTCGAGGGAGGCTCGAGGGAGGCTCGAGGGTGTCCCGGACTCCTCAAATGACTTTCCTCGATGCGACGCGGGACCCGTCGGAAACTGGAGCCGGACACTGTCCTCGGGCTTCTCTCGTTGATGGACTCCTCTGGGCTCGGGTTGCTTCGCGGGGCTCGAGTTCCGAGAGGAGGATCGGGTTCCCTGCGGATCGATCGGGGATTTTTGCAGGGGTGCAGCGAAGCTTACCGACGTGGAAATTACAAAATATTTTCAAATTTAATTTCGCCGAAACGTCATAAAGAGCAAACGAATGCGACTCGAGTTCCGGATTCCTTTGGCTTCGGCGAAGCTGAAGGTATTCCGAAAATACCGAGCGAATCGATCCTCAGACGATTCGTGTTCGCTTCTCCGGCACGTCCGGTCACGAACTGATGCCACGAACGAGAAAACGTGTTCTACGAGGCATGAGAGTAGCTAGATGATTGCATTGTTAATTAAAAAAATTATTATGTATGAAACAAAAGTCGAGGATGAAAGGGACACATGTTTGGATGATTTCCTACTCATATCGGATGGCCCCCCCAAAAAAGATCCGAACTTTACACGCCTATTGACGGTGTACCATATCGACAGGAAACTTACAGGCTTTTACATGCAATTTTTTCAGGTAGCAAAAATTCCATTGAAATTGGTTGTAAACTACGCGAGTTACAATTTTTCTCCCGTGCGATGTCAAAAGACCGAGTGTACAAAGGAACGCACTTGAACTCAACGAAAGAACTTTTGGATGTGTCCTCCGTGGATGTGTCCTCCTTGGATGTGTCCTCCGTGGATGTGTCCTCCGTGGATGTGTCCTCCTGCCGAAGCAGCACGCCTGCAAACGCACCCACACACTTGCTCGTTCGACGACTTGTACGGGAAGAACTCTTACTCGTGTTCAGAGCAAGGAATTTCATTGAAATTTTTCCTAAAGCCACCTACCTGTATTGGGCACGACACACTGAAAACTTCAAGACGATGATTAGCACGGTGTCCCGTCTGCAACCGCACGAAGTTCGGAACTTTTTTTGGGCCACCCGATATAAACAGGGTGAAACAAAAGTCGGGAATCGAAGGGACGCATGTATGGATTATTTCCTGCTTATTCATTGCGGAACTCACCCATCTATACCTGTCTGGCGACTCTGGAATTATCTATCTCGAGTCACGAAATCTGATTCAAATCGCTTAGAAAGGCCTTGAGTGGCTCGGACCTACCCATTGACCTCAATTGACCCAAATCGCTAGAAAATGAATTGCGGGTCGATTTTGGTCAAATTGGATAAATTGAAGATAATTAGGTTTAAGTTGCGAGTTCCAGATAGTTTAAGCTGGAAATAATTTATATACTAATACGATTACTGACTTTTGTTTTACCGTGCATACAATTTTTTGCTCGGCACAAGCATGAAGTACCTCGAGACAAGTGCTATGCGAGTACCAAGTACCCTCGTAGAGTATTCACGAACTCAGAAGGCAATGCATATGAATGTATTCCCGTGAAAACCGCGATGCATGATGTGAATTGTGGTACGTGTTACGTTGCAGAGGTGGCACGAGAACACGTGGAAGGAGGAATGTACATCGGGCCGGAGTTCCAGCTGGGTCAAGTGTACGACGGGGGACTGGAGACGCAGGAGTCGGTCGTCCTGTACCGTCCCGTGTACATGAGTGTGTCACCGAGGCCGGCTGCACCGCGTCCGCTGCCCTCCGAGTCGCAGTCGCAGTCGCAGCCGCAGTCGCAGCCGCCTGGCGAGGACGAACCGACGCGGTCGAATGCCGCGGGGGGTGAGGGGGTCTCGGTCCCCAAGGAGGACGGGGGACCGGCGAAAGACAACGGGGGGGACCTCATCACCAAAGACGTGGACAAGGGTAAGGACAAGGGCAAGGACAATGGCAAAAGCGATGGACAGGAGAGTGCTTCCAAGAAGGTCGAAGACGGCACAAACTCGACCGCCAGAGATGGCACAAGGAGTGAAGTGGAGTCGAAGCCTGATGGGCAAGTGATCGAAGTGAAGTGAGAGGAATCCGTCATTCCTCGAGTGTTTCGGTGTCGAAAAAAAAAGAAAACCGAAAAAATCAATATAAGGATTCGATGATGAATCATTGTGGATGATAGTCGTCCAACGTCATCTTCAGTTGCCCTGCTTCTTTGTGTCATATTGCTAGAAATGATTTTCGATCTGCTTTTTCTTTTCTCCTGTTCAGTTGCTTTCGAAGCATCGAACCGACAATCACCTCAAATTGGTCTCAACTCTGAAGGGTGTCAATCCCAGATGCACAGGAAAAGAAAACCAAAATTCTCCCTAATGGTGCTGAGCATTGTGAAGATATTCCCCCCTCCTCTCAAAAATCTCTCAAAAATATCAGCATAGATGAGCTCTATTTCTGATACAGCTTCCCTCCCAACATCTGCTCATACCTTACAAGACGATCTCTGTGTGACTGAGTTGCAGGTATACTTCTCCTTGAAACCATTTTTTTGTGACATGCACTTTTTATGAGTTGTGCAAGAGTCATAAACCTGTACCAGGAAAAAATCTGATTTCTATTATTAGAGAACAATTGAGAATCCCTGGGGAGAAAGATTACAACACCAGGAGCCGCTGGGCCTCCTCCATCACAATAATCTCTAACAATCATGGAACTGAAAAATAGAGTACCCTCATAACCACTGAATTCCTGAACAGAGAAACAAAAATTGCCCTGATCTTAAAACAATTGCCTACAAGCATCAGTGTAGAAATATACTACAAAATTGGTGAAGAAAGGGGCAAAAAGGGCATATTCTCATGATTTCATTTGGTTTTCAACTGTTCCCCTAGATCCTTCATGACTCGCAGAACTCGTTCTTCTTGCCACGGCAGGGCTGCAATTTGCACTGCTACGGGCAATCCTTCTCCTCCTTCCACAGCCTAAATTGAGATGTGTGAAGACTTCCTTGACTTTTTATAATGATGAGTTTTATGGCCAAAAGAGGATGACCTTACCTGTTGAGCCAACTTATCAGGATGCTGTTTCAGCTTCTCCATGTCTTCTTTGGATACAGTAGTGATAGGGAACATGGCAGCCGGGAAGTCAAGGACATTGTACATCATGGTGTAGGATAGGGCTTCTGGAGATTAGAGAATATTACAATGTGCAGGATGGAGACTAGCTCCAGGGATACAACTTGGTGATTGGAAAATATGTGAACTGATTTTTGCTGGGGAACAGTGCTGACATTCACATTAATGTCTAGTGTTAACAAATTGTGTGTAATCTCTGGACATGTGAAAGCCAGTTATGCCTGATCTGTTATAATTAGTGTTCACCTGGAGTTCATATACTGAATGGCTTGTAAGCATAATGGATTGCAATGTGTTGATGTACAGAATACATTTGATTTTTGCATGCAACTGGGATAAACTGCTGCTAAAACATATATACTACTGCACCAAGCATTTCTGATTAATGTCTGAGCTTTGTTTATGTTGTTATCTTTGGCTGCTGTTGATGAGTACCTGTGTGAGTGATGCCCTTCAAGGCAGCATGACTTATGGCAAACAGTTTGTGCCACTTACAGCGACTTTCTTAAGATAATCATCACATGCTTGGTACAAGAGCATGCATGTTTCATTGGCAGTTTTTCCCAGTTTAAATTTAAAAATCAGCAGGACACTGTTGCCAATTGCTCATTGACACATTGCAACTCACTGTGCAACTGGTCACTAAATGTTCAGACCACCATGCCAACACCAGTGACAGCAGATCAAATGCAACTGGGTTTCACTCATTCAGAGACTGCATACAACAGGCAACACTTGACAGTTATATTAAACAATCATGTAATTGCTTCCACTACCCTATGGCAAAAAAAATGGGTTTGCATATTTTTCCATCTCCCCTTATGCTTTGACTCAAAATTGAATTTGCAAAAGAACCCACGAAGTAGCTTGCTTGGATATCCTTGCTTGAGTGCTGGAGTTGGAAATCCTGGTCCAATGACAGCATCAATTCCAACTTCTCTCCATTTGTATATCACCTTTTGAATGTATGCTGCTTTCTCGGCATTTGCTGCCCACAGGTCATAACCCCTGACACTATGCACTGTTGAGAAGCAAACATGCACTCAACAAGGAAAGCTCCAATTGCTATCAGATGAGCATGGAGTGTGAGCTGAGATACTCACTCGGCAAGTGGTCGGCATCCCTATGAGCTACCAGTTTAAGGAAGAGCCACAAAATCTTGCGCACCCATTGAGGCTTACTCATGACCCAATAGTTTTTTGCTACACATGGGTCAACTGGCTCATCCTTTCTGCAAGGAATATACAAAGGTTTCGTTCGCACTACAGAAACTTTCTGCAGAGGTCAGCATCAGGCACCATAATAATAATAATTATAATTCATACAGCATGGTGAGCAGATTCTTTCCTTCATCTCCACCCACCAACTTAAAACTCAACTTCATGGAAACATCTGCATCAGGTGGTTCAAATGGAATGAGTTTGTGGCCTGCCTTCTCAAGAGCAGCTTTTGCTTCTAGGACAGCCCTTCTGCAGCTGGGTGTTACACTAACTGTTGATAATTCCATGTAATATCCGATGGTGAGGCTACCATTTCCCTTGTATTCCTGAAACAAAACATGGCAAAGTAATCACTTTGAACTCATTTAAGGCATCTAGTTTGACCTTCTCAGGCTCACATCATCATTGAAATTCAATGGTGGAAGGCAAGGGTCCAGTTCCTTCATGTAAGAGGCATTGAAGAGCTCACGTGTCACCAGAGTAAGGGCTTCAAGGTCCCTTGTCATGATTGCAGGTGTTGATTTCACTAAAAGGATATGATGATATTGCTCTCATGAAATGAATCAATAGAAGGATCTGTGCAGGGTTAAGCTTGAAACTTACTTCCAGCAAGGCCAGGAAGAGGTGAAACTTCATGAAGCCCACTGGAAAGAATACAATGATTGGAATAATAATTAATTATGTAGATGGAAGAGAATGACATCTGATGTTCAGCAGGAAAAAGAATAACTGATATCAATGCTACCTGATCCTGCCAACTGTGGGTTTCAGACTAAAGCATCCACAAAAGTGGGCAGGGATACGCCCACTGCCTCCAAGATCATTCCCCAAGCCCACGATGGACGCACCACCCCCTATGAGTGCACCTTCCCCTGATGATGATCCACCAGGACCCCTTGATGGATTGTGAGGGTTCTTTGTGGCTCCATAGATTGGATTGGAATGATCATATCTGAGAATGAGAAATGTGGTTTTTCAATTAAATAGCCATGTTTTTGAAGAGGTGGAGAGGCAACCGACGTGATTAGAGTCTGAGGAGTATTGGTCCGACAGAATGGGATGGCTCCGAGGCTCATGAGGGTCTCCACGACAACAGCTGTGTGATCTCGAGGCTGCCCCAACAGCTTCCCATAGCCCATGGTGGCATCATAGCCCTTCAGGGCAAAGTTTTCCTTGACACTGATGGGGAGGCCATGCAGGGGACCCTTGGGGTCATCTTTGCTCATATCTTGTGCAAGTGCACGTCCCTAGTCATGAAAATTTAATCAATTTTCCCTAGTATATATGCACCCTCTTCTACTTGGTTCATGTAGGCCTTATGAATATAAAGGATACCTAAAGTACTTATCAAAGAAAAGCAAAGAATTACCCTATCAAGAGCTCTCATTTCCTAACCAAGGAAAGTGTATAATTCTTCAATAAATGTAAACTTCTTCAAGCAGTTCAGAAACATGCCAAAGAGGGGAAACTACCTCAGCTTCTTGGATGAACTCAGTGACACAATTCAACTTCTGAGTGCATTCCAGGGCCTGGAAAAGAAATATGTGCAAATAATGTCCAACTAAGAACTGCAGGGTTCAACATAGAACTGAAGCAATTCTCACAGCAGCTTGATATGCATGAAGCACATCCATAGATGAGATCTTCCCTTCCTGAATGCCATCCAGGAGAGATTGGATGTTGAGAGAGACAATGCGCTGCCGTTCTTCTGTCATCAATCCCTGCCCTTCATGTTTAAGCTTTTTTTCCAAGCCTTCAAACTGCTCTCTTCTCGTCTCCTGCCTTTGCTTGATCTTCTTCCTGATCTCCTGGAGACCACATTGAATATGAAATTGGTGTAGAAGGAGCTGCAACAGGATCACTGGAGAAAGGAAGTTTTCAAATAAGGCTATTGAAAGTTGCTTACCTTAGACCGAGAGTGGAAGAAATATCGATAAAGAGTAACTGATGTTCCAAGGCCAGCAGCCAAGGAAATGGCAAGGGCCACATTCCGTTCTACTTCCTTCATTTTTCTTACAATTCCCACATCCTTCAACTAGCATGAGAAACATGATGAGCATCATTCCAAGAGCCACAATATATCCAAAGGTTGGACAGGTCCTAAAGAGTGCATCAGGAACTTTGATGCCAACCTGGGAGCCAGGATGAGGGCAAAATCCTTCACAGGCATCAGGACTACCACTTAAACTCAAATGAAATTGCAGGCATATATCTTCAGATTCAAGAATCCATTGATGAGAACATCACTTTTATTGCTATTCTAATAAGCTCTAACCAATACAATTGCAGACCATAACTGTCAGAAAGATCACAAGCTTAAATGAAGTAGGAACAAAATGCTCCAAAAGAAAGGAACATACACTAACAAGCTTTGTTAGTATTCTATTTTGGACCAGCGAACTTGACCTCCACTGTATAGGTAGAAAACTTATGAAGATCCTTCATGACACGAAGAAGCTTCTCTTCCTGCCATGGAAGTGTAACAACTTGGACACCTATTGGCAATCCAACACCACCTTCTACAGCCTGCATTAAAATACATCCACTCCTGTACTCACTGGCATTTTGTGTCAAGAGCAAAATGACTTGGATTCCAGCTGTCTAACCTCTCTCATGATCTTGTCTGGGAAGTCTTGAAGCTTCTCCATGTCTGCCTCAGTAACCCTGGTGACTGGCACCACACCAGCAGGAAAGTCAAGCATGTTGTACATCATCGTGTAGGCTGCCGCAGCTGGCAAGAGTAGAGAAATGGAATTTATGCATCTCTTAGAGCATACTTGACCATGGAAAGTCAGAAGTTACAGAATGTCTTCCTTCTAGAATACTGAAAATACAAAAAATAAAAAATAACACATTCCAAACCTTCAGGATGAAGACCAAGTGCCAGATTCAAGATATCTAAAAAAAAATTTTTACATTACAGAATGTCAATGTATGGAATGTATGTCACATATGGAAATAATTTTTTTTTAATGCACCAAAAATTCATGAATATTATGATTTTTGTTGTCAATCCTTGGATTGATGCTGTTTATGCAGTGGCGGCTCGTGATATGCAGCACTAGTAGTTCTTCAGTGGAGACAGACAGGCTGACCTCCTCTGTCTCCACAGTCAAGCCACAACTGCTGCATATCATGAGCTGCCACTGTGTTTATGGTCCATTGAAAAGAATACTATTCTATTCTGAAGTTCCCTGTATACAAGATCAAGAAGGAAGGAAACCAGGGATATCACTCATCACTCTATACCTTTCTGGTGAGATTTGTCATGATTCTGAGGAATCTCACCTCTGGTTGGAGCAAAGGAGAAGGAGCCAAAAAATGCCTTTGAAAATGGGAGCTTCACAGCAGGAGTGGGCCAGACGGGTCCAATACAGGCATCGAGATCGGCCTCCTTCCATGCCCTTATTGTCTCATCTAAATACACACTCCTCTTCCTCTCTGCTTCCCACAATTCACTCCCATATACACAGGTCCCTATGGATGGACATGGCAAATCTGACAGAATTCACTCTGAACTAGAACCCCTAGTGATTGGGTCTGCATACCTGGAATGAGAGAAGCCTTCTTCTTGTCCCATAAACCATGCAGAAACTTGAGAAGAGACTGGAAGACTCGAGGTAGACGTGCATAGTGATAAAAATCTTGCAGACTCTCATCCACTGCCTCCCCTTTCCTATCAATTCATACTTCCAGAAAGTCCTTTTTTTTTCCCCACAAGCATCATGAAGAACTTTACTTACAAAAGATGCACGATGGAATGTCCTTCATCCCCATGGAAGAAAGGCAACTCCAGCTCAAACAACTCTGACGCATTTAGCGGAACAAAGGGAATGAGAATGTGGCCAGCCTCTGTTAGGGCTTCAACTGACTTCATGACAGCCTTCTGACAGCAACGTGTGGATGGAAATACTTCCAAACTAGTATAGTAGCCAATTTTCAGCTTCCTCTCACTTCTCAGCTCCTTTGAAAAATTGCAGAAATGAAACCATGGGAAGAAAGATCTCATGAAAATTTCCTGTGAACTTCAGACATTTTTCTACATGCACATCATGCACATACACATCCAAGCTCACAGCATCATTGAAGGGAAGTGGGGGGAGGAAAGGATCTAATTTCTTCAAGAGAGAAGCATTGAAGAGTTCCTTCACCACCAATACCAATGCATTTAGCTCCCGACTCATGACTGTTGGGCAGGAAAACACTGCAGGGAAAGGATTGACAGATGAAAATAAAAAATTAGATGCAGCAGAGTGCAATCAATCAATCAATGCAATGCTCAAGCAATCCAGGATTGAGCATGAGGGGGATGCACTTTGAATTTCAAAGTCTATCTATCTAGGCACACAGTGCTACTAGCACCTCCATTCTTAGGACTTCAGGATTGACCTACTGAAATGTAGGGTAGGAAAAGAAAATCCTCCATTGCCTCCTATGGGAGATTCAAGGTGCTAAAAACAGTCTTCTGGAAGCAATAAATAAAATTAGGATTTCCATAAGCTAGATTTCCTCATTTTTGTAAGACTGAAATGAAAAGTCCAGCAAACTGCCATTGATCAAAAAACAAAAAAAATGCAATAAGGATCTAGCTGCATTCAGGTCAATATTAACTTTGTGGAAGGCACAAGATAGAGTGATCACCTCTTAATTTTTTTTAGAACTTGATTCTTTTGATGATGCACTGAACAGCATTCTATAGAAATATTTACAGACATTCCGGATGGCTTGCTTTATGTGCTGAAGATTCTGATCCCTGGCATCAATCCATTCCTGATACCCCCAGAGAAAAAAAATCTAGCCAAAACATGTAGGGAAAGTAAGGTATCATTCTTAAAATTCTCAAAATAATGTGGTGATGAATGAAATGAAAACGTTCAAAGTAGCTTTAGGTGTGCCATATAGCTAATTCTCCCAAAGGATTTCATGGAGTAATTTTATTTCTCTACCTTATGTATATACAGAAAACCAGGCATTTGGTAACCTAAATACAATAGGATACAGTCACTTGGTGATTCAAAAAATAACAAACTGACTGGGATAAGATACATGCTATCTGTAAATTGTATTTGATGGAAATTGAATGAAAAGAAAGACCTTTCATACTACATGCCCAGCATACACCACAAACTGTAATGACACTGATACTCCCAACATATGCTCTCAATTTGTCCTCAGAGTCTTCCTGCCACTGATGTGCAAAGCTTTGCTAGATCCTTTTGATGGTGTTTTGTCCTGACAGTACCTATGATAGAGTTCCATTGGTAGTCATATCACTGGGCCTCCCTTGGCAAATTTGGTCTCTGACAAGACCACACAGAAAGAAGTTTGAGGTTGAGGGGTGTCAAATCAAGCAGCCAAGGCATCCATGTTACAGGTTCACATTCTATCCCTCATTCACAACTCCAGGAGTTCATCAAAGATGCAGTCAAGAGGATTATGGAAAACACAACTGAAATAACTTGAAAAACCTTTGTTTTTCAAACTCTTTCAGTTTGTTGCTTGTATCATATTTGTATCCTTTGTAGCTGTGCATAGATGGGGAATATTTTTGGCACAGATGCTGAGCATGTTAATGTTCGTGCCATTAGATTTTGTGTTTGTTGCTCACACTGTATGAAACTCATAGGTCATTCCACATCCCAATTCACCGAAATTACAAATAAAATTGGTGGCATTACTGTCTCAGATTTCTTTGTGGATATTTTCCATCAAAAGTAATTGCTAAAAAGTCCAACAGCCAAAATGCAAGTTTCCTTCTACAACTTGTTTTGAAGTATGAATTTTTAACATTTGGAGGGAGAGTCCAATTTAGTAAAAACAGTCAAAATTTGATTAACCAAAACTTCTAAAATTAGTGCTCAAAATTGACGTGACTGGTTTTATTGAATATGCAGAAAAATCATGTTTTGCAAAGAATATCATATTACTTTCAAGTTGTTGTCATCTGAATGTTGACCTTTTCCTTCTCAAAATTTCACAACGTTGATACTGTATAATCAACACAACAGCAGTTCATCCAACTCTAGGGAATGGCAATTTTTGTGCAGATTATCGATCGAGAACGTGAAAGAGTGAACACTCATTTTTCTTTTTTCTCATGAAGACTGCATTCCGAAGATAATGAAAGACGCCTTAATTTATTGCCCTCCCCCTCCCCCGTGCACGAATGGAAATCAGAGTTCTTTCATCCAGTCATGCAAAATAAACCCCAAATTTCTTTCTGCTTCTGATTCACAAGAAAACATCGAGAACGCTTACAAACAAGACGGAAGAGAGATTTAAAAAAATTTGTTTAAGCTCTAATGACAAGGATGAATGAGGCTGAGGAGAGTAAAGGGAAATTAATGCTAAGAGTGAGTAGAAACTCTAACTGAAGAGAGCAAGCCTCATTATCCGATTCCAGGAAAGGGGGAAAATTGGATATAAGTCTTCCTAAGTTTCCTTCTTCCTGTCTCTTGCTAACTTGAAGGGCGAGGGGGGGAGACGTGGGGAAAGGGACCAAGAACACTTTTCCTCAGTAGTATTCAATCTCTTCTGCTAGCAAACCCGGGGAGAACGGCCCAGGGGAGTCGAGAACTCGTCCGTGTAAATGGGAGCTACGGATTAGTGGCGTTCGAAATAAACAGAGAATTTTTATATCCTCTTGCGTCCCATGTTCAGATTTACGGACATGTATATTTACAGTGGGTTCTGAAAGTTTCTGGGCCACTAATATCATAGATCAAGAAGAGACTAACGGAAAAGTATCGACTCATTTGCATCCACATAGCTCTGAACACCCCAGGAACCAACTCCTGCAGCAATACTCGGTGACTTCCGCCAGCTTACAGAAACTTCAGATCCGTTGCCCGAAGCCCTCAACGAGTGACAGGTTTCACTCGTCGTGAGGGTTTTTCACACCTCTTTTGACTCAGGTAATGACACATGAATTCTGAGGTGGAGCCGACGCAGAACACTGCTGGGGCCTGCGCCACGGATGATCGACGGGGTCAAGGTCCAGACAGTTCCTCGGCCACGTCTTCCAGACCCAGTCTCTTCGATGACGCGGAACGCGAGGCCAGCAGTGGGGCATTGAGCTCTGTCCTGCACTAGAACTGGGCCAGGTCGCCAGGTTCTTCAAGTGGCCGTGTAGACAGGCAAGATTTTTTAAATTTTATTTACTGTAGTTAGCATTTCCTTTACTGACTTTTTTTGGGTGGGTCAGAAACTTTCGGGGCAACCTGTATACCTCGCAATACGCTCGGGATACATTCCCGAAGAACCGAGCGTATAGCGAGCGGATCGGGAGGTGGAGTCATAATGTATAACTAGCGTAAAACAGAAACAAACGAGTTGAGAAACAGCGTGTGGTGAGGTATTACTGTATGTGATACTCAATTTCTACTCACTAGAGCGAAAAATCCTGTTCCCAATAATTTCAAATATGCGAAGGGAAGCGGACAAACCATTAGGAAAATATTGAAATAAGCCATTTGACGTGAAGCAAAAGATATTCCAACAAATTGCGCGGAGAGGGTCCCGGGAAAGAATAGTATATAAGTTCAATGAGTTTTTACTAGGGACCACTCCTCGTCCGAATTAACGGGACGTCGCATCACTGATACTCGGATAAACGAGTTGACTATCTTCCTTGTCATTATCCAAGGATAATGGATTTTTGGAGTATTCATGAATAATCCTATCAAGAAATAACCAATGTTCAACCTTATTGTAAACCAATGGTAGAAGGCGCGGAAATCGTGGACATTTCGTATTTTCAGGAAGTTGAAAAGTCACTTATGTCGGATGGGCAAAAAAAATAAAACTCCAAGTTGCCTTGAATACACATGGATGTGTTCAATCTTGTGTTCAAGCCAAGAACTTCAAAACTGATCTAGTGCAATTCATATGCAAGTTCTGAAGCTTTGGCATAAATTTCCCGGGGTCTCTGACTTCAAATAACTGTATAACAATAGTCTTAAGTCATGTTGTTCTTTAGTGTTCAAGGGCACCGCATGCCGAAATTTGCGAGGTTTCATGAAAATGCCTGGTCGTGAGCTAAGACAAAAGAGATCTGACCTCCCCTGTGCCACCTAAAAATTGCCGTGAGGAATTTCGTGCGATGATTTTGTACGATTGGAAGTGTGGTTTCACTGCTAAGAAAGCCATAACCACCTTGTTTCTGCCTGGGGTGATGATGCCCCATGCCAGGAGACTGTGAGCACCCGGTTCCGAAATTTCAAGATGGGTCACTTTGGACTGGTGGGCGCCAATCGTAAAGCGCGCCCTCCGACCGCAACTGATGAAAAATTTGTTGCCGCCATCGAAAAAAATGCTGAAAGAAAATCCGTGAATCACCTATGGAAAAATGAACATGGCCCTAGGGATTGAAATTGTCCATAGCCAAGCCATACAAACTATCTTGCATGAAGAGCTTCAGCGAAGATGGGTGTCGGCCCGTTGGGTCTCTCATCTGTTGAAAGAGCATGAAAAAGAGGTCTGCGTGGAGTTCTACCAGTTCATGCTCCAAAGATTCGACGAGGGGTGTTCTGATGTACACAATATCATCACAGGTGACGAAACTTGAGTCTAACATTATGACCCCGAGACGAAGCAGCAGCAATCATCTGCGTGGCATCCAAAAGGACAACCTCATCCGAAAAAGCTGCCCCATGTCAAGTTTCGATTCAAGGTCATGTTTGCCTTTTTTTTAATTTTTTTTATTTACGGAAAGTGGCTTGGTTAAGGGAGTGCCACTGGAGAATGGGCAAACTGTGACTGCCGAGTGGTATTCAAAAGTTTGCCTGCCGGCAGTGTTCAACGCCCAAAAAAATGAGAGGCGGAAGAAGTACGGCTTGAAGAGGATGATGTCGCACCCACGACAACGCCTCAGCTCACAAGGTGAAGGGGAAGGCATCTGAGATGGAGAAGTGGAAAATCGAAGAGCTGCCGCATCCGCCATATCCACCGGACCTCACACCTTGTGGCTTTTGGTTGGTTCAACGAAATGAAGCAGGAGCTGCTTGTGATCAAGTTTCACGTGGAGGAGCAGCTGAAAGAAAACGTAAAAGTGGTCCTGGCGTCCATTGAAACCGATTGTTTCGGAGAGTGCTTTGATAAGTGGTTCGTACGCATGAAGAAGTGCACCAATCAATCAGTCTGGTCATGAATAAGTGACAGTTTTAAGGCCGAATGCATTTTGCTCACTCATTATTTTAAAGCATCGAAGCCAGAATCTTTCCGAGAAGTCCTCTTACATTGAAGGGGGTTCTTGAAGGAATGACTGAACCAGTTTCGATCTCTCATGCCAATTGTGAAAAGAACTTGTATTTTTGAGAATCTGAGATAAGTGACAAACATCTTAGAAATGGGATATTTTCACAATTTCCATGCCCTGTATCGCAGCAGACAGTTGCTAAACATTATGGGTGACATGCACCAGGTCCGTTTAGCTTAAACTAATCTGATCTAATGGTCCCCTTTAGGATTTGGTTTGACAAAGATAATCTTATTCCTCTAGATACATATTATGTAGTCGGACCAGTTTAATGTTAAACGGATCTGGTGCATGTCACCCTGTAGGTTTTTTTCTTATTGTTTACACTTATCTTTAGTAAACTTCAACATGGGCAAAATTTGTAGCTCTGGTCACAGTCAGGTGATGCTCAATTTCTGCCTGTGTTTTCTCAAGCATTTATGGCTGATTGTTGAAACTGCATCTCTTCTTCTCTCTTGTAAAACTTCAAACTTGTTACTTACATCTTGGACACAATGTCTTTTATGTACCTCAATTAACACAAGTGCACAGAGATCATGTATGGTGAATGTGGTGGCTATGGGATTGGCTCCTCTCTTCTTTATTTGTAGCAACAAAAAAAAAGAAGGGAAGAAAGGTGACCCACTTTCTGGTGTAGCTCACTCCCAGTTTCTTGGAATTGCTTATAAAACCTAATCAAATTTTCACCTGATTCTTTTTTGACATGTAAAAACTTGCATTGAACAAGAGGCACCAATTTCGACTCTGCAAACCACTCAAGACACTCAAAAATTAGCTTTTTTTGCATGGGAGCCATGACTTGATCAGATAATGCAATAAATTTTCCTTCTCTCAAACTTTCTCTCTCTTCTTATGCTTCAGTTGCACATGCACAAACATAGAGTTTAGCTACCATCTGCTGCAAACCCATCAATCCATTCCTAGCAGTTTTCAAGATATACATTTTTGAAACCTCTTCAAAATAATTTAAGAACACCATGTATTTTGAAAACCGTCAACTGAATTAGTGATTGAAGGAGTTTTCAGCAATAATTATGAAGGAAAAAGAATCAGAAAAAATGATATGGCAGTACCACAGCTCATTAGGCTGAAATTGTATCTTTTCATAATTGAATACAATTTATAGATAGCAGATATTTCATGTCTATTAAGTTCTATGATTTCCTAAAATCATCAAGTGACTTTGTGTCCATCCTGAACACTATATATATATATTTATATAAATTGCATCTGTGTACATTCTAGACTTGATTATAAGATAGGGCCATCATTTTTATTGCTGGAGAGAATACTTGCAGCCAATCAATTCACAAAAGCAGAATGACTGCTTTTGTGAATTCTATTTACTCATTGTGATTTCAGCATATCAAATTGATTAGAGCCCAATGCTTTAAATGGATTCATTCTGTGTAATTTGCCTCAATAGCATAAAAGCACTGAATGAATGGAATGTGAACAAGAAAGTCCTCACCTCCCACCATCCCTGGAAGAGGATTGGCTTGATGAAGGCCACTGGAGGATACAAATCACCATTAATACTCTCACTACAACCACACAGCTATCATGAAGGAAGTTGGATTATAGTAAATGATGATATAGTATTATATAAGTATTATAACAAACATGTGAGGGTAGAACATACCCATCAGTTTCACACGGTTCATAGGGAAATGCATGCATTATGCAAGGAATGGTGTAAAATCTGCATGCAATTATCAAACTGCAAACAAATGAGCCCTACCTGAGTCTTCCTGATGTAGGTTTCAAGGAGAAGCATCCAGAAAAATGAGCAGGGACACGTCCACTACCACCTGTATCACTTCCAAGCCCCACCATCGAGGCACCTGCTCCCAGAAGTGCACCTTCCCCACTTGAAGATCCTCCTGGACTATGCAACCTCGCATGGGGGTTCCTCACCTCTCCATAAATTGGATTTGAATCCCCATATCTACACATGTTATCATTATTCTATATCCCTTTCAACTTTTTCTGAGACCAACATCATAATAGTGCATATGAAATCATTCTATATGCATTGCCCTCTCCACCTCTTCCAGCACTTTTTCATCATAAAATTTCTCAGCATTCAGGGTATCAACCAAAATAATATTTATAACATAATAGCTATTTGTCTCATCTACACTGCTGACACATGCAAGTATTTTTATAAATTCACACATAAGTGTGCCATTCTGGAGAGGATGGGGAGGTGGACATAAGCACAATCACCCCTTTCATATGACTGATCTCAGCAATTTAGTGCGAGATTACTTCCCCTCCCCCTGTCCTAAAGGGGGAGGGGAAGTAATTATATCTACCTCAAACCCCATTTTGGGTATAATTAATTGGGTGTACAAGACTGTGTACTCTCTTGCTAGCTGAAGACAGGTTCTTATCTCAAATTTAAAAGCAGTTTAATTCCTGGAGATGATGACCAAGGTGAAGAATAAATAATTTGATGATTTGTGGGATTTGTATACACCAACAAGTCATTTGCAGGGGTGATTACCACCCCCCTCCTTCCCCCCACTGGTATACTTATGAAATTTAAACCTTTGAGTTCATCTGGACCACTATTTGTTTATATTGGAAAATGTCCCAGTGTCAACATTTTAATTTGACATTTCTATGGTGATTGCCCTTCAAGAAAATAAATGTAATATTTAAATGCTAAATGTAATATCTTTTGCAGCCCATCATTAAATTTTCATTATTCCAAGTTGAAAAGCTGCACTGGATAGACTTTTAAGTCAAATTTTAAATAAATAATGCCTTATATTTCATGCTGTCAGCAGTAGTTGTGCATGTGAAAAGTTGTGAAGATAAGTTGTCCTAGGAGAATGGAAATTTTCTAGCTTAGTGCTCCAAATCCTCAGGAATTTGATGAAAAATGTGCCAAGACTCAGGAATTGTCTCACATAAGCACATGGTAGGATATTTGCCTCATGGCTATGGAAGACAATGACTGGAAAAGCTTTATATTCATCAGGATAAAATAAGTTCTGAAGCATGTCAGCATGATGGAAGAGGATGAACACACGAGATGAGGCTCTGAGGGATATTGGTCTTGCAGAAGGGAATGGCTCCAAGATGTATCAGGGTCTCAATGATTGGAGACATCGTATCTCTTGGGGAATACAGGAATTTCCCAAAACCCAGGGTGGAATCATGACCAGGGATGTCAAAATTCTCTTTTACACTCACAGGGAGTCCAAAAAGTGGTCTGTTTAGTCCAGAATCTCCAGATTCTACCCATTCCTGGAGGAGAGGATCCACTCTCATGATCATGGCAAATGGCCAAACAAAAGCTTCAAGAGGTGACAGAATCCAAGACTTACGTTTGACTCTCCAATGAATTCAACAATGCAGTTTAGCTCATCAGTGCATTCCAAAGCCTGAAAGAAAATGAAAAACATGGAGAACAACAAACATAAATCTGAGCAAAGTAAATTATGAAGTGTGAAAGTCTGTATTCACATATGGTTTCTTTTCCATCATACACATTTCAAAATTTATCTTGGAATTAAATGCTTCTTCCATGAATTTATTGAGCATCAAAGGGAGGGGAGGGAAACTAGTCTGACAGAATGGATCTGAGCCAATACCTAAAATTTATTGTAGCTCAAAGGCTCAGGTCCATCACATTGCTCTTAAATCTGACCAGTAGTGTATGTATGCTGAAATGGGAGGTCCATTCAAGGTTCATTTGTGCATTCAAGATAGAGTCCAAGAGAGCAGATATGAACACAATTTATGGGAACATAAAATAGAGCTGATAACCATGGAGCATATGACATGCACAAGAGGAAAGTGACTAGGGACACAAGTGAAATTCTCAAGGTGCACTCATTGGGGAATACAAGTAGATGGTATTTACAGTTAGGAATTTATGAAGAGAAATGGATGCCACTATGCTTATAGATGTATAAATTAAGTAAATCAAGGGAACTCACAGCTGCTTGGTAAGCTTGGAGAACATCATGTCGAGATATCTTTCCCTTTTTGACAGCATCAAGAAGTGAACTGGAGTCTAGGGCAACGATTCTCTTATGTTGAGATGTGTCACACTGTAGCAACTCTCTTCTCAGGGTTTTGAATTCAGTCTCCCTTTCCTTGTGCCTCATCTGGATCTTCTCTTCAATATCCTGAGTCATGAAAAACTGTTTTCAGCAAACAAATGAGCATACACAGACTAATAACTTTCAAATGCTTTTTGCATTGGTATCCCACATCAAAAAAGCAGCCAAGGGTTTTTTATCACTTAATTTAAAATGAAAAATTTGAACACATAAGAATTGAAAACTGATACAATGCAAGTTCAATTGCTATAGCATTCACCTTCAGTACTAATGGACTACAGAATACTCCTTAAAGCATTGGGAACATATTCAAATATGACACCGGCCATTGCATGCAGAAACTGTCATCAAGCAAATGAGAGAACTATATGGAACAGAGAGTTGAGATTGGCAGAGTGTGCTTAGAGTTCCTCTCAATCACATTAAAGTGGATAATTGGCTTTGAAAATTGCATAGAGATGAATTTTTAAATTTAAAAATGCAGGCACCCATATACAATACATTCCCACTTGTGGACATTCAATTTTCCTTTCCTTTGGAATCACCTAGAAGTATCATGCTCATGAAAAGAACCACTTATGACTTGCATCAGGAACCTACAGCATATTCATGTATTAATGCATATTGAATCTGCTGTCTTCTTCCATGCCACTGAGACTACATTTTTAGCTAAGAATCTTCTCTCTTTATAGAGTGAGGGAGGTGGTGATGGGTGGGGGGGGGGGAGAGGCACTTGCAAGTGAATTTTTGAGCCTTTTAAGAGTAAAGTCTCCTCTTTAATATTTAAATAAGAGTTGCTCAGGCACGTCTTATATTGAACTATTTTCCTTTGTATAAGACATGATGTCCTTCACAAATATGCTACCTATAAAACTGTAGCATCATTAGCCCATCTTGTTGAAATTACACACTAGGTCACTTGGAGGTTATTTCTCACGAGATTATATGTATGCAGTTCAACTAGAAGCTTCTTGAAACAACTGTCATTAAATTTTCAAGAAGTTGCTCTTTTCTTGAAGAGATGCTGCATCATGCTTCCAATCCCTTCCCAGCTGTTCATTGGGCAATGATATGGGAGTGATCTTTGATAAGCTATTCTAGTGCACCAATGTCTGAGTTAACCCTATCATGTATGAATTTTCCAAGCAAGATGTGCCTTTATTGATTAACATTTAAGGAGGTACTCTATCATAGTAGTAGCATGCTTCACTGCTAGATAGCAACACTGGAGAGATTGTGCCCCTGAGTTGACTGCATACCCCAAAAAGTTTTGAGGTATGTGTATGGTACAAATGACTAAAAAACCATTGCTATCACCAAAAATGTTGCCGCCCACTGTGTGTAAAAGGGTTTAGGAAAGCTTGAGGAAAGGGGGGGGGGAGGGAGTTCAACTGCTGCAATGATGTTGAAAAACCATTCATGGTTGATCAGAAGGCAATAGGTCTGACTACCAAAGGCACTGTGCACTTAATAGTGGCACTGATGTGTCAACCTTGTCAATGGCATTGTGATATATAGTGAAGTCTTGTTAACTCAGTCATTTGACAAGAAAACTAAAGCACGAGTGGACCAAGGTCATTTGATGTTAAATTCCTCAATTTCATTAAATTTAAGGGCAAAGATGTAATTTTGGTGTAACATATCCATAAATATGGTCATACTCCTACAGAATTTTAGGGCTCTGGGAAAATAGGAAAAGAACCTTTAGAAGAACTTTCTGAGCAGTCCTAATGCTTCATTTAGGAATATAGTTTTGCTCATAGAAAGATGTGAAGAACAACTGCCCCACATCTATTGGCAAGCAAACAAATTTGTTAGTCAAATTCCTTTCAAAGTTTTTCTTTCCCACTCTGTTCCTCTGAAAAAAGATAATGAACCTCTTGAGCTCTTCTTGAGGACATCTCACAGGATTCTGTTAGGTAGGTATCAATATTGGTGAGGATGAAGTCCTCAGGAGGGAGATATCACTTTTCTGGTATGCACATGATATGATTCTTATTCCTCTGCTGGTTCTTTGAGGAAGTAACTATGATCAAAAGTGTCATGGTGCAAAATATTCAGTATCTGACAATTAAATAATACTCAAATTCTGTTTTTTTTTTTAGATTCCATGTGATACATAAAAGGAGGGGAATCAAAGGAGCCATGTCGGGAAGGTGAGGGGGGGAATGTGCTACACCTTGCATTAGATCCTCCAGGTATCCCATTTATTGACACAAATAAAATCATACAACACTTATAGGGGATGCAAGACAAGTTCAATTGTATCATCATATACCTAAACCATTCAATTATCTTTTGAACAAATTTATGCCCTTTTTTCCCTTTTTCCCATGGCATGATATTTGTAGTCTACATGCCCCAAACCCATTAGGGTAGGGTAAGGTTACTTGGGTAACTTCTTTGTTTTTTTTTTTTATTACCATGAAGTAGTGGTAGCATTTCTTTGATGTCCATTCTAACCTCTTTACATTAGACATTTCGTCAAGAAATTGGAAGCACACGTCATTTTTTTAAATAAAAAAATGTCTCATTTTGAGGGATCCAAATTGCCCCATGGATACTATTATTTGGGTTATCCATAAGGATCTCTCAGTTGGATTCCTGGATGCTCCACAGCTGTTATTTGAATGATGTATTGACTCTTAGCAAGTTGCTCCTGGTGAGTGACTTCATCGCTAGTTTTTTTTTTTACACACATGTGCATCATTGGCAGCCAATGTGTTAACTTTCTTGCCATTTCTGACAAGATTACTTGATGAATGAAACCTGATTAAAAATTGTTTGTGATGAAATATCTCATCAGCACAACTTCCTTCCCGAATCTGTGTATATATGAATATTCTCATCAAAAGACCATTTTGTTCCACTGTTGAGGGCACCACAAGTATTTCAGAATAACTTCATTCATGAAATGGGTATACACTTGGGAAAAAGTTCTATGGTAAGGGGGTTCAAAGGTTCCAACTCAATAGGTTAGGCAATTTGAGTTGTTACTGCACATCAAAACATCAGCATTCCACAGACCTTTCATTTATTTCAGCAAAGCATCTTATTTTTTCTCCACAACATTTGCAGTCAAGTGAAAAAAAATCCATGTCTAAGCAAAACAACATTCTCTTTACAAAAGAGAACACCTAAATCCCTCAATTTGTATTTACATTTCTCAATCTACTTCAGTGATTCTTCTCTTTTCCATCTTTCTGCTGATCCTTCCAGGAGGCAATGACTCTGGAAATATCTTTCTGGACAAATATCTTTCTTCCTTTTTTCACTTGTAATACTGCATCATCACTACAAATTGATAGCTTATATGCAGTGATTGTACCCCAGTCTAAGTTCATAGGCTATCTTAGACTAGCCTATAGACTAAATGACTTAGGTGGAGATACTAAATTTGTGTAGGGCTCATAGATGAAAGGGCTGTGACATTTTTAAAATGTACTCATTGGAGGGAATAGGAGGATAAATATAAAACCCTTTGGCATGGCAAAAGCAGCTTCCCTTCTCAGAATGTCTGACCCTGATAATCTCATCTCGCCCTCATATTTGCCCCTATGAAAATGAATACTTTATATTTGAGAAATTTCAGTGAATAAATTTATTTCCTGGCTGAAATTTCCCATGAATTCCCATGAGCTCTGCTATCACTTTCAACATGAATTGGGCCATTCAGATGAGAGCTTGGCCAAAAAGAGAAAGCTAAGAAATTGTTTTCCATGTATCAATACAACATAATTTATAATATTTTCACAGGGAGAATGGACAGCAATGTATATTGCTATTAGCAGAGAATAATAGCAATTCACTAATCATACCCTGGACTTGCATTTAGCAGTAAGATGAGCTCTGAGAAGGAAGACAGAAGCTCCAAACCCCAGTCCTGCAAGGGACAGGGGCCACACTGCATCCATTTTCATTCTTGCATCATAGTTATATAGCCCCACCTACAAGGTATCACACTATAAGAGGTCTTCATAAAAGACACTTGAATTCAATTGTCTTGTTTTGAAGGATGGAAAAATATAGAAGATGGTACAAACAAAAACAGCCATTACATCAATGGTCCCATGAGAAAAGACGAAAGATGGAAGGGGGGAGCAGAGAGAGGAATAGGGGAAAATAGAAGAGAGGAATAGGAAGATACAGAGATATTAAAATACAATAGGCTGTTGAATTGCACAATTCATAAACTGAATTATGATGATAAAACCTATGCTTCAGGACATTGGGGATGTTAGCACTTTTCCAATGGATTGAAGTGCAAGAAGAACCAGGGAAAAAAAAAAAACAAATGTGAGCACACTTGGACCTGCACAAGTGGAACTGTGCATCACAACTGTTGAACCAGTAGGTGTAGTGATGCTACCCTGCCAACTATAAAGCAGGACTGGGCCCAGCATCCCATGCAGCAGATACAGACCAAGCACCAAGTCACCAAGGACATACCCATCTCATCAAGCAGGCAAACTAATATACAGAGTAAGCATAAAGTCCAGAATCATAGAGTACATATATATATTTTGCTTCAGGTAAACCTACTAACATTGTGAATACTGATAACAATGTCACTGTCAACGGAAGAAGGAGCTGAGTTTATTCTGTAATGTAGTTGGGGTTGGAAACCCATATTCAAGTTGAAGGACATCGTGTTTAACATATCTGAATATCCTATGTCTCCAGACTTTACACCCACCCTGAATATTGCTCTTTATTGGGGATAACAACAGGAAATGGCAAAATAAACTTTAATCTCTAGTTCAACAAATGAGAACACAGGTATGATTGCAAAAGACAGATGGTTCTAAATGCTAGGTGCAGAGTAGATAACATTTTGAGAATTCTTTAGACCTAACAAGACATGGAAAACCAAATTCCTGAGTGGAGACATGTTCCCAAAAAGGAGACAAAAATCAATATTAGAACTCATTAGGGTGAGGACCAATTATGACACTCACACTCTGTGCATGATACAGAAATTGATGCTACTTGCAGCATGAAGGTAAAGCTCATCTTCAATAATGGAAATCATCATATTGAAGTCAAAAGAAAGATTACATTCTCAAGGTACAGTAGTGGTCCAGCTAGTAAAATCTATACATTGTGGTGTCTATGTGAAAAACACAAAGATCTAATAAGACAAAAGAATGAAACACTTTTTGCCAAAGACAAGTGCTCCTGATTGAAGGACCATAAAAATTTCATCCATATGAGAAGGGTACCTAAGGAAGCTTCTGGCAGCAAACAGGAATCACAGAAATGCTTCAAAAAAAAGTTAAACAGAGATAAAAGGCAAAAATTATATCTACCTGTGGTACATCTTAGTCATCTGGACTACTTTAAACGATCTATGAATACTTGGATCCAAAGATTCAACTTCATCTTGATTGGGCACTTTTGCTTTTGCCATCAATGTCATGAACAGAGCCTAACTTTTCAAATTGATGGAGTAAGACAATGCTCCAAGTTGAAGAGGGCCAATTTAATAGTCACAAAGATGAAAACTCCAAAATGAATAAGAAGCATAAAATGTGAGGATGATTACATAAAAGAATAAATATTGCCATCTTCTGAAATTGTACTTATTTCAGAGGTTACTCATAAAGGATCTTTGTTCATTTACAAGGGTAAATTTCATTGCACTTTGTCTTGAGAAACTTTTCCATTCAGCACCTTGACACTGGGAGGAAAATATGCTTATCACCATGGCACATTCTGATTCTTTTTACATAAGAACTTAGAATTATTGTACAGAGCATATACTACTTTCAGATAAAGAAACTCATATTAAACTTAGTCTCAATTCAAGTAAATGGGATATTACTCTTGTGATTTGTTATATGTACACATTTCATATATAAACCTCATCCCTTTGTTTCCCTCTCCCTTAATCAGTCTATAAGGGGGAAAGTGGAATATCAAATTTCTGTTATATTTCTCCATACAGCCCAATCAGAGTTGTGAGGAAAGCATAAACAAGACAATGAAATATATTTTGGTTGGTGCTGTACAATGGATTACTTGAAAAAAGTTCCTTCAATCTGTTATATATGTGAAACAGTGATAGAAGTGAATAAAAGTGGTCATCATTTGGTAGGAGACAGGTGGGTCTCAATGTCCGACATGACACGAAGAGCCACCTCATCCTTCCATGGCAGAGCTGCCACCTGTACTCCAATTGGACATCCAAGTGCACCCTTCATGGCCTGCAAGTGTATATCATTGGTAAGTTATTATACATTTCAGGCATATGCACACCTGAGACTTCCAGGGTGCAAACAAAAAGACATACAGACACAGAGACACTGACCTCAAGGACGAGACGATAGACAGAGTCTGTTGTTGGATAGTCCTTTAGAGCCTCCTGATCTGCTTCCATTTCCTTTGTCACAGGGACCACTCCCACTGGGAAGTCCAACAGATTAAAGATGGCTGTGTATGATGTGGCAGCTGCATGTAAAGAAATGTGTAGGCTTAATAAAATGAATATTCTTCATGAGAATAACTGAATAAGAAAATGGACCTACAGAGCAGTTGAGATGGATAGGAATGTGGTTGAGCAGGAGTTGGAAAGGCAGGCAAGATGCATGCATCCAGTCCCTCTGCTTTCCATTCCTGCACTACCAACCTAACATAATCATCTTTCTCCTTTGCTCCTTGCCACAGGTCTCGAGACAGCAGATAAGGTCCTGTCATTTGTTGGAAAACTTATATGTTATTACATGTAGAATGGGGTGAGAGAGGGTGAAAAGGGATGAGAAGGGAGAAAAAGGGTCTGCTAACTACAATTTCCCCATTGGTGAAGTCTGTTAAGTGTACAGGTAAAAAGAAAATAAGGGAGGGGCAAGGAATGCCTAGCCTTTAGCAATCTGAATGTCTGGATTGGTATTTTGAAATGGACAATCCATGAAATGGAACTGGAAGAGGAAGTTGTACCTTCAAGGTGTATGGCAGTCTTTGGGGATGACCAGCCAACAAGGGAATGCATCATCTTCTTCATAATCCCAGGCATTCGAGCTATTTTGTACAACAGGTCCAGTGATTGATCAACCACCTCACCATCCCTGTCAATAGATTGACACAATCTGATTTCCTCTTCAATTATGGCTACCCAAAAAAGGGAGTATGCAGGACTTACAATTCCCTGATGAAATTGCTCCCACCATCAGCCTGTATGAACTTTGATAGCATGGAACAGGCAAGAGCAACATTAGGAGGGGTGAAAGAAATCATTTCATGACCTGCAGCCTCAAGGGCTTTTCTTGCCACAGAAACTGCTCTCTTGCATCCAGGAGTGGCAGGGAAAAATCCATCTTCATCATAATAACCAATCTTCAACTTCTTCTTTTGGTACTCCTGAAAAACCATTCCAATGACCTCTAAATCCATTCAAGGGTTGCAAGCCATCGAGAAAGGAGGGAAAGGAAATGAACCTCATGATTGAATGGCATAGAAGGCATCAAAGGATCAAGAGAATATTGAGCAGGTCCCAAGAAATCCTTCAAGACAATCTCCAAGGTGTGGACATCCCGACTCAGGAAACCTCCTACGGCAACCACTGTCATGCAAAAAATGCTCCTGTCAATCACTGCAACCACTGTCCATGCTATCCTATACCCACAGACATATAGCCTACTGTAAATTAAGCAAACCATATTATACTTTTTTTTAAAGGAATCCTTTGATTGTTATTTGAAAGAGTGGTCTCTCCTGAGCTGCAGAAAGAACTATGAAGCAATTCAAATGGAAAGGAACTTTCAACTAGACATCAAAAAGGGAGACATATTTCATACTTTTCACAATTGATTTGAAATATCAACATGATAATGACTTATGAATATTGTTAGATTTAATCCAACTCAACAACTGTTTGCAGAGGAAGAGGTTTCATGCACATCCTATTATTCTTGGAAGAATATAGCCTAAATTATGCTGGGACATGCCCCCAGAGAGTCAAAACTTTCCCAATTGCAGCCCCTATTCCTTTTGCATTTTATACTAAGAATAAACTGTATGTCTGATGTCTTGTGCTCTGAAGAAACTCAGTCTTTCTAATAACATCAGTACAAAAAAGAATCTTCATTGTTTCTTGATAACAAAATCTAGCTTGGAAATCATTGAGCAAAAACAGCACTTGAAAGAAGGTACTACTTCAGATGGCAATAAATCCTATAAATCACTTATTTTTTCAACACTATTTTCCAGTCATCAGAATCATTAATATCTGAGAATATTACAGAACTTCTATGGATCTGAGCTAACATCCAACATTGCAAAACCTACCCCCTTGCACTCCTGGAAGACTTGACCCCATTCCATGCTTGCTAGAAGAAAAAGCATCAAGTTGACCGAAATTTCACAATAAATTTTTTGAGAACAAGAATATGACATAATACTCTTAGAGGTAAGATAAAAGGAAATCAACCTCAGTCGTCCACTGCATGGCTTAAATCCGACGCAACCAGAGAAGTGAGCAGGAATGCGAAGGCTCCCACCAATATCAGAACCCATTCCAAAAAGTGAGCCCCCAGTAGCAATGAGAGCTGCTTCCCCACCAGACGATCCACCAGGGGTCCGCTTGTCATCATGCGGATTCAGAGTCAATCCATAGATTGGGTTCCCACAGCTGTAACTGAACCACACAAAACAGAGAATGAGGGAAAAACATCCTGGACAGAATTCAAAATGACACAAGAAAGCATGTTGAAGAGAAAGGCAAAAGCAAAGCAAGCTCATTGTCAAGTCCTTGCCTCTGACTTGCACTCACAGGTGAAGATTTGCAGGCAAGAAAAGCAGCTTGAATGAAAAGAGAGAATTCAAAGGAGGGTGATGGAGAAAATTACAGCAGCGAGTTGCAGGATACAAATAGCACTCAATTACAGACCTGATCATTGTCTGAGGAACATTTGTGCGGCAGAAGGGAATAGCACCCAAGTTGCGCATGGCTTGAACCAAGTACGAGGTGGTGTCACTTGGAGTTCCCAAGTGTTTGGCTATTCCATATGTCACATCATGACCCTTGATCATGAAATTTTCCTTGATGCTAAATGGGAGGCCATGAAGAGGATTTGCCTTTCTCTTCTCTTCCAATGCTTCATCACACTCCTTTGCCCATGTCTACCAAAAAAGTAAACAATCCCATTTGTCTGAAAGGCTTGGTCACAGGAGTCATACCTCCAGTTATGATGCTCACCTTTGCCTCTACAATGAATTCTGTCACACAGTTCAGCTTCTTGTTGGATTCCAAGGCCTAAAATGAACAGAATACCATTAAATTGCAAATTGAATCACCCATTGGACAAAATGGGAAAACTACATGAAAAACATTAGAAAGGAAAATAAAGCAGTAATTTAGCAAGCTAAACACCTCAGGACTGTCTTGAAAGGCAACAGGCTGATAGACATGAGAAAATATCAACATGTACAGGGTGGCAACGAAAAATGTTTCATATTTCATTGACCTATATTCTCATTATTTATTAAGGTAGAAAGTTAAATTACATGTTATCTGATATATGAACTCAAGAGATTTTTTTTGTCAAGAAACATGTTCAAAATGTTCACCATTCCTTTGGATAATCTGTCTGTAACAACATACAGTGTAATTTTTAATAACATTATCCAGTGCCTCATGTGTTGTGCTTCTGAGTGCTGTAACTTCAGAACACTTGAGTCTCTCAATGATGTGCGTATTAGTGGAGAAAACCTTTTATTTAAGAAATATTGTTGATGAGCTTGAAGAGAAAGTGTTATGAGCATGAGAGGGGACATCTCATGGCCAGCAGGTTCTCCTGATCTTGAACACTGTTATATTTTGGAGTTTCCATAAAGAAAAGGTGTTCTCCACAAATCCACACATCATTGGCAGACTCAAATGTTTTGTAGTTATAGCATTCAGAGGCATGACACACAAGACACTGGACAATGTTATTGAAATCATTGACATATGTTACAAACAGATCATCCAAAGGAATGGTGAACAGTTTAAACGTTTCTCAACATTAAAGAAAAACTTCTTGAGTTCATTTATCAGATGACATGTAATTTAATTTTCTACCTTAATAAATAATAAAAATATAGATCAATGAAATGTGAAACATTATTTATTGCTATCTTGTATATAGCCTCCTCAATATGGACTTAAGGTCTAGTTCTTTTACTACTAGTATTGTATATGCCTAATGAGGCCTTTCACCAAGATTTGTTTAGTGCAATTATGATCATACAGCAGCTTGGAAGGCTTTGAGGACTGTTGTTGCCGACAGCTTTCCAGACTGAATATCTGACAAGAGCTCATCAGTACTGAGAGATGTAATCCTTTTTCTCTCAGGTGTTAGTAAGCTACCATCCTCTGTGAGTTCATCTTCAAGTTCTTTCAGCTGCTTCTGCCGCCGCTCTTGCTCTTCATGGATCTTCTTCTGGATATCCTGAGAAGAAAAAAAAACATGCAACCTTTAGGGTTCAACACTAAGAAATGCATGAACAGGTACATGAGATTGTTCATGATTGGCTAAGCGAAGGCTTCCTATGGCACTTAACTATTGGCTTGGGCAAAATTTGGAGTTCAACCAAACTATGTCAGGATTGTGGAGAAGAAAAAGAGCTTTAAATAAAATCTAAATTTACTGGAGCATAGGCTGTGTTTAACGTTACGTTACGATGAGTGCCGTTAGTCATTGAGATGTGATAAGCCTAGAACTGAAGGGAAAGTGAATCCCACCTGCTTTCTGAATCCAAACATGACGATTTGACATAGGTTTACAGCCTCGGCTACGGAGAAGAAACGTACGTTACACCGAACTCATCGAAGCATAAGGCCAAGAATCATGTATGTTTTGCGCGATGAGCACTTGTTTCCTTGCCCTTGTGAAGGTTTTAAACCAATTAATACGCTTAGGCCTATCTCACAGAGTCCCAGTCACTGCTATTACGACACCAGAGAGTACAGAAACATGTACACTGGAACCACATGGACTTGGTTCGGGTGAATGCCTCCCCTGCACCCTCCACGTAGTCGAATGCATCATTGATGTTCTTCGCTTCTCACAGATGTCATTTGCATGCCGACTGTCTCGGCCTCGCTCATGCTTATCAACTCCCTTCGCCTTGCCGAGAATGTAATCAGAAGGGCTGGTGCGCAAAGAATTTCGGCATGCAATGAAGATCTTTATCGTCAGTGAAGTCCTTTAAAATCAATTACGAGGCGGATGCACGAAACAACCCTCGGATGTTACCATGATAAGGCTTTCGCTTCGGCCTCTGTGCGTCAACTGCGTTGCAGTCTGAGTGGGAGCGGGGAAGGAAGCCGTTTGTCGTGGGATTAGCTCTAGCAGTTGAGGAGTGATACCGTCGAGAGAAGAGGATGGAATGGAGTGGCAGAGGAACGGGCCATTCTTCGGAATTTCTCTCGCTCTATCGCACTCACGGTCCTCGAAATATGAGCGGGGATCAAAGTCGTGGATCGGAAAGGGGAACAGAAAGCGGAGAGGAATAAATGGATCGAGTTCCACATCTCATAGAGACAGACGAACCTGCCCACGCCATCTTATCTCACGAAGGCCTTTTTTGAGTTCGTTACAGAATTATAGAGCTCCGGTCGGTACAATGTACTGCATTTCAGATGAATTCAAAGCGTCGCTTAAAGAACTCTTCGGTATTGGCGCATTAGCTCAGTACTTGAGGCTTGGGACAGAAATACAGTCAAGGCACATCGGCATTTCTCGAGTCAACATCGGACCAGTATTTGCCCAATTCTCTTTCTTCGATGAGTAGTACTTTTCGGTACTTGTTCAGTCGTTCGCGCCCCCCAAAGGCAAGCTATGATGAAATACGAAGTGCCACGCCAGAAATTTTGCCTGGAACCTAATTTTCACTCAATCACAGATGCGAAAGTGGAAAAAAAATGCGAATAATGTCAATGTCCTTGGAGGGAATAAAATGGCAACGAAATTCAAGAGCGAAAAAATTGTACGGAAATAAGGATGCGGGAAAGGACAGCACGATCCTTCAACGAAGCGCACATCTTTCACCTTGTGGCAATTCGTAACCTTGTAATTGTCAAAGAGGAGTCTTTTAGTGCAGCAGCTAAGCATTGTTGGCGGTTTAATGCAATTCAACGCACTCTTCCATACCTAGTTGCTGAGCCAGTGGAGAGAGAAAGCTAAATAAACCCTTTCTGCCCGACCCTGGCGATAGCCAGAAGCTCCAACCCGGAGGCTCCAGGGTCAGTCGACGCACCAATCATAGAGCTGATCTAAATCTTGGCAGGTTCCGGGAGGACGAATGCGATTGGTCGGCGGTGAAAACCGACAGAAGAGCTCTGTGATCGTTCGTAGACGTCGCTCGTCCGACTTCGATTTCATCTTTGTCTCTTTCTGAACCGGATCGGAGGTGGGAGCTCCGAGAGTTTCCGAACGATTTCCACAAACGCGTAGGCCCTTTTTGCGTGGAATTAATCCTGGGATGAGGATTCGAGCGCCATTTTCAGTGCATCACGCAAGGAAACATGCGCGTTATGTACCGTTATGGCTAGATTTCTCGGAGTCTCGCCGAACAGGCGAGTTTATTATATCGTACGCTCGGCCTACTCCAGACTCATCTAGACGCTTCTACCTTGGGTTGCTGAATTTGATTATGCACAAAAAGAAGAAACGAAGTCAGGCACTTCGCCTTCCGTCTATGCCTAGGCCTAGGTCTATAAAGTCTCGTTCGGCAGGCTGCACAATGTGGAACGCTTAGGACATAAAGCCGCTGATACAGATCTAAGCCTTATTCGACTCGCAATACTAAGTACCCCGCTTTCGAATTGCATCCGTATCCCCACATAAGAGCGCTTCCGTCGATTGCTTCTTCCACGCGGGTGGTTTTGTGGATCATCGACGAAGCGGATCCGCTGGAAGAAGTGCTTTTTCTTTCAGCATTCACGACATCGCCCTCAGAAACAGTTCTTTCTAGCAGCGAAGGGCGGCTTCTAAGGGAGACGCTTAACTTCGTAACAATGTTGTAGCGATGAAGTATTACATATTGTAACTTAAGTAACATCCGAACTTAGGTGGTTGAACCCTAGAGCCGAAATGTTTTCTACTCGAACCGATTTTTGGATTTCTCATATTCTCCTCCTTCCTATCTCATAGTATTTGGACGAGGCATTGTCCAAAGGAAGGCAAGGTGAACGCAGAGAGGAAAGCGAACGCACGCCTTGTCTCCCTCTCTAAGGCTAATGATGATCAGGGTTAATCAATCTAAGCCCTTCGTGTTCGCACTATCATCAGATGTTGGCAATGCAACGAGGCTTTAATCTCGCCGATGACGATGAATTGATTTTCCTGAAAAGCCAGGGGTGCCGAGTTCCATATCGAGTCGCAGGAAGGATTGAATCCGAATATAATTTTTTCTAATGCTTCAAGGGAGACCAAAAATAATCTGATCCCTGTCTGAAGATCCAGGGGTAGATACAAGGTGAAAAATGAGGTGTACAAGGAAAGGATTTTCTTTTTTAAGCCGTCACCTAAATCATCTGTTCTGATTGAAGATCACTGAAGCCCATCAAATAACGGATAAGGCTTCGCCAGAGTCATCGCTAGACGTATGGTTGGAATTATATACCTGAAAAATCTTGTTCTGCCATACAGTTTTTAATTATTTATTTTCATGCCTCATTATGCCCCAGTTCGTGAAATCTTCAGCGCTCAAGCAAGGTGGCATTTGCTTGCGATTAGACAGCTCTGGACCACTACTTCCCAACCTTTCCGCTCTCTCACTCCCGAGGAGCCACACAGGTGGCTTTGACATCCCACAGGAACGAGATAGGGACAATGAATAAGCCGATCCGTATTCCAAGTCAGTGCATCCCAGCTTGCCTTGACATTATGCTGTTAGAGCATTCCTCGCTCCCCCGGGGACGCAGAGCGTAGGAAGCAGAGACAAATCTCTGTTTTTATTTCTCCTCGGAGAGGGGAACCCCGACATCCTGGAAGGGATTGAAATGACGGAAACTGTCACAATGGAATGGGGTCATAACGCGGAAGGAATAGAAATGACGTTGACTGTCACAATAGAAAGGGCTTTAAATTGTTCAGTTTGACTCCTGTCATTCTCGTCGATTGGTTCGTCGTTTCGAAAGAGAAATGAAATTTCTGCAATATGCCACCATAAGAAAATTCTTGCGGGTGAACACCCTTACTCACCTTGCTAACCTTTGTTCACTCACCTTTAAAACGGAACGTGTACTGAATCTTTTCCTGCCATCGTCTGCCCTACGCATAATTGATTTTCAAGCCCACAATCTCCGTCGTCGCGGAATTAGAGGGCGTGCACAATATTTATTGAAGACAGTAACCATCACTTCTGAACGAAGAATGAATTAATTTTTCCGTAGTGATTGAAATGCCTGCCGACCGGATAAGGCAGCCCAGTGGTATCATTATTTCTCGAGGCCATAGTATCATGAATCACGACGGATCCTGGAATGCATGTAGAAGCCTGGCGTCTTTCCCCAGGATTACGGTTAGGAAACGGCCTGCCGTATTCCATTCCGGCGGGGCTGCCGAGAAATTATTCTCGGCAGAATTTCATGAGCCCCCACCATCCGGGAGATTCACATGCTCCGTTAGCATTCGTAATAATAAGTTTCCTTCACTGTTTGCCGGAATCCGCCGTGACCGCCCAGGCGGAACAAACCAAATACAGTCGTATTTGAGGGTTGTATTCGGGAATATTTGAATATTATTTCGAATATTTTGTATTATTCATACCACCTTTTGAATGTTGATGACATTGGAATGCTAGATCGGATTAAAATGCGGTATGCACCATTCGAAAGACAAGACGAATACCTAAGAGTAAGTTTTCATATTGTTTTCGTTATATTGCAATTGAGAGAAGGTAAATGAAATACCTATTTTTAGGGCATTGAAACTCGTTCATGACTGAAAACACCCTGTTTGCTGCGTCTGATTATCTGTCTGAGTGCCTGATGAATTGCGTGTCCGTTGCGATTGATTTCCCTGGAACATTTTTTGGGGAATTGAGCGAGAAGCGACTGAATATCGATGAGCGTGTTGCCATTGTCCAACTTAATTCCGAATTCGACCAAATTCAGCGGAGAAACCGCCAGCCGGAAGTCGATCAGCTAAAATTATGTCAAAACGGGAACAGCCGCTGACCTTTCTCTGGACGCCCCAGGTCATGTCGTGCTGAGGAAAACATCGATAACGGTCAGCAGGAAGATTTCTCGATCGCCCGGAAAGCAGAGACCGCAATCTCAAATTTCTCAAGGATCTCAAGCCGAAGTCTCCCGTTCCATGCCTCGTTCGAGAACTTTCTGAAGACGACTTCGAACGGCGCGTGGAGTTCGCAGAGATTCGATGGGAAGACGAAGATCCAACGTTTGGCGAGCACGTGCTCTGGTCGGATGAGGCAATCTTTCGTTCGAGTGGTCAATCGCCGCAATTGCATCATTTGGAGCGATGTGAAACTGTCGATCGTCCTTCTCCTGGTCTCATGGTAAGGGTCGGAGTTATTCGAGACGAGCTTTCGGAGTCATCGAATGATGCTTTTATTTCGCCCTCGAAGTGGCATGCTTTGGCTTTGGCGAGTGTTTGGACTCGAAAAAAAAAAAGATTTTCCCAGACTGGCAGTTTTAAGGTGGTAGCGTGCTCGTCCCCCATGGCAGAGTACGCGGTTTCAAAACGAACCAGGCGAAGCATTAATTTGCGGGTGCCAGCCCCTGCCTTTGGGAAGGGATACGCTCGAGCACTTGGCACCGCTATCTCTAGATGTGGGACGTATACTCCAGCGGTGAAGGTAGAAGGCCAGGGAAGCGTATCCCCGGAGTAACCACTTGAGCCAAATTGATTCTCCAGAAGGTCGGAGGTTACTTGGATCTTAAAAGGGGAGTGGGGGAAGGAGGGGGGGAGGAGTGGGGGAAGTGGGGGAAGGTGGTAACTGGGATTCCTCTCCCTTGGGGACACATTCATGGGCTTAGTGCCTCTTGTGTCAAGGAGTATCACATCGCATCCGGGATCGCCACGAGTGAGAGACTTATTGGGTTAGATGGAGTTACTGGGGAAGGCCTTAGATGAGATTGTTGGGGGATGCAGAGTCTGATGCGGACGAGATTTTCGTATCGGAGCTTATGCATTGGGGGTATGGTTTACTCTTAGCAGTGATAATATGAAGTAATAATAGTAAATAATACTTAATCCTTCCCGCCTTCAGGGCCACATGATATGACAATATGATGATGAAGTCATTCAAGGTGGTCTGGTATATACAGTACTTCTGGGCAAAACATTATGGGAAGCGGCAAAGGAGGAGGGGGGAACAAAATGAATACTCTCATGAGCAAACATACAATAAAATATGCATGATAGAACAGAAATGTGACAAAAAATGAAGAAAGTAAGGAACACTTTGATCGACATTAATGCAGATGGGTGTAGTTTCTGAATTGCACAAAGGTAAAAAAAAAATATTATAGACCCCAATGGAAAATAAATTGCATTGTCAAAGCAGATGAGCTGAGAGTATGATGGCGATATTAATTTTTCATCCCAAGTAGCACGTTTAATGCATGTTCAATGAACATTTAAGGTATTGCCAACATTCCCTGAACGTCCTTGGGAAAGTTCTATTGATAGCTCAGATGTCGGAAATTTAAAGCGATCAAAACCAGTTCAAATTATGCGTTCCCATCCAAGGGTTGCATTCAAAGCTCTTCTCCCTTGACAGGAGTTATTGGCGATCAGATAACCTATTCTGATTTGAAGTACTATTTTTCCCAATTTATAAATGATGGCATACCCATTCTTGCGTGCGAGCGAGAATTCCTGCTCAGGCACAGAATTCTCTCCGCTATATATCAAATGAGAGGTTCCTCCTCTGCACCGCAGATGCGTGAGAAGAGTACGTTAGAGGATAAAAGAAACTCCAACCCGACTGCATCTATCTCCACAGCAGGAATTGAATGCAAGCTGAGTGATCAAATGGCATTTTTTGTGAGCGTCCAAAAGCTGTTCATACCTGAACATTGAACGTCCAAAAACCTCATTGAACGACAGGTTGAACGTCCTCTTGAATGTTCATGTTCACTTGGGCTGCGCATAATTTAGAAACCCATGCCAGTATTTGATCTAGTTCCAGCCATAGGACTGAGAGTAGGTTCCTGAATGAAGTGGAACTGGGAAAAGTGAAGTTCTTGAAGGAACAGAGAGCAAAATTTGGTGAAAATTTTTTTTGCGAAGAATGAATGATTTTGCTGTGTTTTAGAAGTGATAGTTTAGAAGATTCAAGTCGAGAGGACCCGTTATAAATTAAAAAAATATTTAAAAAAAACGAGCAGTTTAGGTGAGGATGAGCCAGCCAGAGGGATACGGTATTTTGGAGAAAGAATGAAAGAGAGACCATAAATTAAATTATGCAGATTTCAGAAAGTGCTATGTTCCCAGCAGAAATGGGAATTCATTAAAGTACTGAGAAATTTTGTCACTATCAATTTGTTGCAATGTAAATTTCTTGCGATTGCCATGAATATGACATCACGTTTACGTAAAATTTACGTTCCTATATTTACGTCACCGAAATGTAAGTTTATTTTACATGAACTAGACGTCACTCCATCTGACGTGAAGTACATGATATCAAGTTTATACAAAGTTAACATCACACTTTCCATATGAAACTTCAGCTGACCATCCGGCAGTTGAAATACCAAGATTCCTCACTAGATGGAACCCATGTTCCCTGTTCCCTACAGTTGCTAATAAGTACTGGTTTTCCCTAAATAGCATCAGGTTTTCTTACCATCCTTCCCTTTTTTATTATGCAATTCATGAATATATATATATATATGGAAAGCAGGAAATTATTACATATTTTAATAATATATGACTCAGGGAATCATTAAATGCTGAAGTTAAGTTTTTATTACAGCAGTGCACGGGATTAGGGAAGAGTAGAATCCCAGCCCACAAGTACTACATCTTCTCTATCCTAAAGGAAGAGAGCTCCTTTGAACATCTACTTCTCCTCCCGAGGTTCCGGTACGGGAGGAGGAAGCAGTAGGTCACTTTGGTACTCTTGAGTGCTGGTGAGTGAGTACTTGTGTACTCGTCCAACCACCCTTGAGTTCTGAAGAACGTAAAAGAATAGGAGATTCAGTATGTCATATCTCTTCAATGGTACTGGTTGACATGCATGATACGCATGAATGCCAGGGGAAAATTAACATAAATCTTACGTAAAATGAATGTAAACATGCTATTTGGAATGCAAATGGGAAGGTCAATTTTACGTAAAATTTAGGTTAATTTTATATCCCCGTTTACGTATCACAGAGGTGACATTTCTGCAAACATGTTGGCATTTTCTTGACAATGGTTTGCGTAAAATTGATATAAAATGGACAAAAAATTTACATTCATTTTACGTAAAATTGACATAAACATGCTGTTTGGGGATAGCTTTGTTTTTTTTTTACCCACCCTGTAGATTTTGTTGAGGGTGCTCAGGATGGATAACGAGCAACGTAAATATGATCTTGGCAAGGCACTAAGGCATGACGATAACTGTGTCGACATTGCAGATCATCATCTTTGAATTGTACGACGGAGGAGAAGAGGGAGTGGAGTTTGTGAATCAACATGATTTGGGTGCTCCCCAGCCAACGTCTGAGCCGCCAACGTCCGAGACCACGTCTGGGCCAACTGTCAATTGTGGAACCTCCCCTTCCTCCTTATTCATGCTCCCTCTCCTCCTATGCTTCATCTCCACCAAACTCTCCTTCCTATGAGAGGATCTACTCTCATCCATTCACTCATTTTCCAATCGCTGCCTTAACAATAGAACGAGGACCATTGGCACTGCTTTGTCCCGAATGTATATGGGTATTCAGCTCTAATGTACTATGTGTTCCAGCGCAATAAAGTTCAGTTTATTTCATTCCTCAGTCACTGTCAAAATTTATGGACGGAATAGTTTGCGCCGATTCATTCGTTCATTCCGCCAGTCATTCCAGCGAAATGAGAAGTGTGGATAAGGCGTTATTCAACTTCACTGACAGGGACGTGAGTTGAATCAGGGTGATATTAAAGGAGTCTTTGAAGAGGACTCAAATAATCAGATGAGGATGTACGAATCTATTTTCTTTTTGAGAAGAGTATCTTTTGCATTTGAAAATTCATGCGTTTGATAAGCTTGATGTCATAGAAATGGGAAATTCATTTTTACACTGTAATATTTTTTCGAAAATGTTCAATTCTTCATCGTAATATCAAACTAAAAGCATGTAAACCTGCATTCCCCCTAATGGTTTGAACAATTTCCCTGGTATCCTCGGAAATCCCACTTCACGTTGTTCGCTGAGTTTCTCTCATATTTCCTCTGAAATATTTCGCCTCAAGGTCTTCCATTCCGAGTCCAACAACGAAACGGAATGCATCTCCTAATGATAAAACGAAAAATTTCGCATGGACAACTTCGGGAAGCTTCCCTATAGTTTTAATTTCTAACCCGAATCGTAAAGAACTCCCACTCGCCCCCGGAATACCCCCGAACAATGAAGACATCACAATGCTACAGGAAACAGTTTTGATTCCCAGTGAGAAAGTCCATTGCTGTGAATTTCTCAATCGGAAACTAGGGAAATGAAGTACGTGATAGCTTCTTCTCCCTGATCCAAAAAGAACCTCTCTGAAACGAAGCAAGCCCGACTTCACGGAGATGACCTACATTTCCTGGGTGCCAGCGGCCCACCCGACACAATGCGCGTAAAGAATTCTCAAAGTCGTTCATCCGCCCCACACACTCGCTCCTTGAGAAAATAAGAGAAAGGGGCGAGAGTAAGTCGCGATCTTTTCCGAATGCAAGAGAACTTTTTCTTCGTCCAAAGGGCTGCACTGATTAGTGGCATGTATTCATAGCATACGCAACCTTTCCGTGAGAGAAACGCAATAAAATATCTCGGATTAATGAGGGAACTAGGCGTCTTCGAGTAATGAATTCCATTAGGTACTCCCTGAATGAGACGGAAAATCTCCTGGGAAGACACGAAAAATTACCTTCTTTAACGAAAGCAAGCGATTCCGACAATAAGAGTATTTTTTTTGCGTGAGAAAATAGAAGACGTAGATTCCGCTCAAAATCGGAATTCCACTTTCAGCATATTAGACGGAAACATTTTCAGCATATTTAGTATCAGCATACTGTATCCTGTGCGTCCGTCGGAATCTCCTGAAAACATTTTTTACGGTGTAGGCGACTGAGAAAATCTTTCCAGGCAAAGAACTTGTTGCTTCAACTTATGTCCAATATTTTCTTTTGCGTTCTTACTAGATTTGACATCATGGAATAAGTCCACCGACTTATTTCATGATGTCATGATTTCATCAACTAGTTCTTGAGAGTACCTCAAATGTTCACGTCTGATCCAAATTCCAAATCTTCTAACATCGGCAACAGCG